GAGCTCGCTTCCTCATATGATATGAAAGTTGTTCTCCAGTGTACCGAGTACCAACATCGTCATTACATTTCCCACATCGCGGCTCAAACCAAAAACCTCAAGCAAAACACACACAGACATGTTGCAGGGAGGGTGGACTAGGGAAGGGTTCGGATTCACTAGAGCTATAACAACACCGGCACGTTGGGCGTTTAGACCTACTTAAAATTTTCTTCCCGGGGCCAGTAGTGGCCGCTGTCCGCGGTCAGTAGTCGCAGCCGGCCATGGCGAGCGGCAAGGCCCCCCGCCGCCACCACAGCGCCACCGCGCAAGAAGCTGGAATGATGAAAACGCCCGCGGACCTGGAGAAAAGGAGGACACGGCACAGTACGGCACAGAGTACGGCATGCTACGTTCAGACACAATGGAAATGGATCCTCAAGGGAGCGAGGTGTATGTTGGAAACGGCACAAGGGGCACCATCGGTAGGAAGGGGAGGGGTGATGATGTGGCGGTCAGGATGTGGTTGGTGGAGTAGGCAAGATCTACTGTTAACACCAGCAGTAGCAGTAGCAGCAGCAGGGCTACAATATTGAGTTTTTTTGCATCGATACCCACACGCACCTTGGGGTGTACGAACAGACGCAGCTCCGGATCCACCACGTATATCCATTTCGCCACCTTTTCCTTCTCCTCGTGATGATATCCGCCGCCGACGCCGCTGCCACCGACGCCACCGCCAGCGCCGCCGATGCCAGGAGCCTGTACGGCCACCGGCGTCCTGGGCATGCTGCCGGTTGTACAAACGCTGCGGCCCGGAGTTCCGACGGCCGCAGCGGCGTCAACGGTGGCGGCGGTCGGAGTGATGACGGCGTCGCCTAGTGCGGTCACCTCCACCCGGGCGGGTGCCCGTACGTCCTGAAGCTGCAGCAAAGGCAATAGCGGCGGGTCCGGCGGCGGCGGTGCCTCCAGGCCGCAGTTTCGCGCGGCCGCCATCACCCTGTTCGCTGACGTCACCGCGTCGTCGTCGTGCCTGTGACCCATTTCAATCTCGTTGACAGCCGCCCCGTCGCCCTTCCGTACTTCGAAGGCGCTTGAGGTGCACCTGCAGGTACGGCTGCCGCCGCCGCCGCCGTCATCGGTGCTGCCGGCTTCGCCTGTGCTACTGCTAAGCGGCGCTACTGCCGCCACCGAGGACAAACAGGGCTGGCTACTGCCGTCGCTGTCCTCTGCGCTACTGCCCCTGCTCGTTACTCCCTCTTCCCCAGGGACGCCTCCGACTACCCGAGAATCGCCGCCCTTAGCGGCGGAGTGGCTGCTGCTATACTCGCCATTCCTTGACGACTCCAACCGCGCCATGGACGATGCCGAGTGGCCCCTCAGTCCCAAGTCAGGCAGCAAGCTGCCGCTTTCTACCAGCTTGGCTGATGCTACAGCTGCTGCTTCTTCCGAAGCCGTGCCTAGGACCTGCTGGCCTACGCCGCAGATGCCAGGTACGACATTCGCCGCCACTGCTGCCGCCGCCGCTGCTTCAATCGCCGCGTCGCCACAGAGAGCAAACTGCCGTACCGCCGCTACTGCCGCACCGCCGCTGCTACCCTCATGAATCGTGACCATGGGAGTGTTGCGGCGGGAGGTCTGCCGTACCGCCGCTGCTGAGCTGCGCGGTGGCAGCGGAGGTGCAACGGAGCCCGCCGAAGCCGCCGCCGTGATGGAGGCCTCGGAGAACGACAGTTGCTGCGGTAGCGACGGCGCTTCCGCGCCCGCCATCGTAGATCCAGATCCACGCCACCACGCCGCGGCGCCCTCGCCCAGAAGCGATAACGGTACGGCAAGCGGCGGCGGCGTCGGCGGCCGCCTGTGTTCGTCCAAGGAGCCTCGGCCGTCAGGCCCCGTATGGAGCAACTTGCCGCTACGCTTGTACCGCAACAGCCCAGTCTCCATGTCAACGTCAAGCTCGTACTCCAAAAGCTCGTCCGGCGTCAAGTACTTCACCTACGGGACAGTCCCACAAGCAACGTCATCGTCCCCGTACACGTCAACGTCAGCGTTATCGCTGCACGACAACAAACAGAACGACCGTGATTTACGAGCGAAATAAGCTGCACGCATAAATCCTCTGTGCAGACAGGATTGACAGCGGGACGGCAGGTTCAACGACGGCGACGAGAAAGCGGTGTGGGTGGGAAATAGGCAACGAGCTTGGAGTCGATCCCTGGCCGCTACGCTTGCTCGCTGCGTCGCGTGCCAGGCCCGGGCTGCTCCTACCCAGGCCCGGGCTGCTCCTACCCAGGCCCGGGCTGCTCCTACCCAGGCCCGGGCTGCTCCTACCCAGGCCCGGGCTGCCCCTTCCACAGCGCGCACGTTTGCCCGCTCCGCAATACAAAAAGGGTGTTGCTGATGTCTGATGCAGTACTACTCACCCGCTCTGCATCAAGCTTCGCTCTCGACACGCCAAGGTGCGTCAAATCCACATCCTGCCCTGGGCCATTATCTAACCACCTGAGGAAAGGGATGAGAGGAGAGAAACCACGTACACATGAAGGTCCCAAATATGCTCACTGCCGGCGTCTGAAGGGAGGATGCTGCAAAAACCGTTCGTTCGGTCGCAGCGCCTTGGCTTTTGGGAATATGAGGAAAGAAATCGGCTGCAGAAGCCCCTAAATGCGCTATCCCCACAAAAACAAACCCGCATAGACCCACGTCGTCGCTAGATCGAATCCATAACGGTGATGGGAGATGGGTGGATGCAAAAAGAGCTGTTGTGTTGCGTTGTATTGTGTTGTTGTTGTTGTTACACCGGGCTACCAGGTTCCTATGCCGTAAAGCACGTGTTGTATGGTTGTCGTGTTTGGGGGGGGAGGGGGGTCAAGGGGCAAAACGTCCAGCTTGCAAGACACAGACACACCCATGCACGGTCCTAGGAACATAACGAGGAAAGAGGAAACATGTAAACCAGGCCAGAGTAAACCAGGCCAGAGTAAACCAGGCCAGAGTAAACCAGGCCAACACGGAAACCTAGATATCCAGAGGCAGCTACACAGGCAGGTCACACATGGTCATGGTAGCCGAGGAGCCTAGCTGGGGTCCTGGAGGTTTGCACGGCAGGAGCCGCCTGGAGGAAAGCACCGCCGTCGGTGTCCTGGGAGCCCAAAGTGATGATGCTACTACCCACTACCCGCTACCCACCTGAAGAAGCTGGTACCGCTCCCGACGCTCGCACGATTGGACATCAGCTTTGACGCGCGTTGTGTCGTAAAGCTACCCGGCGCGCCGCCGCCAGTCGTGCCGCCGATGCCGATGCCGCCACCCCAGCTGGTCAGCGTGGGTGTCGCTGGCGTCTGAGACGGCGTCACAGCAGCTGCCCCACCTCCAACTAGTTGCGGGAAAGTCGACAACTGCTGCTGATGATGATGCTGATGATGGTGGTGGTGCCGCTGGTGATGGTGGTTGGGATGGTGATACTGCGGTGTAGCTGGCGGCGCCGCGCCGCCAGGGCCGTCCTGTTGTTGCTGCTGCTGTTGCTGCTGCACCAGTTTTTGACTGACAAGCCCGTCTAGAGCGACTAGCTCACCTCCATCACAGCGCGCCCCTACCTGACTTAAGAGCTCTTGTCGATGACCTTGCTGCTGCTGGGGCTGCTGCCAGCTGGCGTCTCCCGGTGCCGACGGCTGCTGCTGTGGCTCCTGTTCTGGCTGCTGTTGCTGCTCTGGCGGCTGGCTGCCATCGTCACTCTCCGCCGTTGGCAAGGACATATCAATCATGGCCGCCAACACAAATCGCCGTGACGGGCTGCACAAGACATTGCGGCGCGGGCTACTGCAGACTGGGCAAGACAACTGGGATGGCAGCGCCACGATGGGCGCAGGTGCCGCTGATGCCGCAGCTGGCGTAACGACCGAGATTACAGCCGAGGCGGGGCGCGGCTGTGCCGCGATGGGCGGAAGAACTCCACCCTCCGTCACAGCCGCCGCCGCCGCCGACACTGCTCCGCCGGAATTCGCAACCTCGCCGCAGCTGCGTCGCCGCTGCTGCTGTAGCTGCTGTCGCCGCTGCAGTAGCGTCGGCGGCGGGTCGCAGCTACCGGCAACGCAGCGTAGCGGCGCTGCGGCACCGCCGGGTGCTGAGGCGACGGCAGCCGAGCCTGGTGGAAAAAGGAGCTCGGCGCTGCCGCCGCCGCCGCCGCCGCGCACGTCATCCTCGTCACCGTCATGACTTCGGGTAGCGGTGAAGCTAACGGGCAGACTATCCGCGCCGCCGTCGTCGGTGCCGTTGTGCACACTGCCTTCCCGTTCGTTCAGTCCGCCCACGTCGTACAGGTGATGGTGGCTCCTGCGATGATGATGCTGTTGGTGGTTGCGGTTGTTGTGGTGAAGGAGGTGGTGGTGGTGAAGGTAGTTGTGGACATGGAGTTGCGACTGCGGGTGCGCATGCCCCTGCGATGCGGTTTGCTGGCCCTCTTCTGCGTCCTGCTGCGTGCCCAACTGCGAGACGTCGTCCCAAAGAGTATGGCTGCTTTTCGAGCTCGGAGCGCTACCGCCGCCGCCATCCAAGAGAACGTCCCCCCCCGCGCCGTCGGCGGCCCCGGACTTCCCCCCAGCTTCACCCCTTTTCCCCATCGCCCCAGGGGGCCTGTTCCTCTCCCTTTCCCTTTCACTTTCCCTTGGCTCAACATCATGTTGAGGTTGACAGTGATAATGATGTTGGGTTCGACGGTAATGGCTTAGCTGCTGGACACAACCGTTAGGGCCTTGTTGTTGCAGCTGCTGCTCCTCCTCTTGTTGCTGTTGTTCTTGTTGCTGTTGCTGTTGTTGTTCCTGTTGCTGCAAACCCTCTTCGGTCGTCTGTTGCTGTTGCTCGTAGTAGGGGCTGCGCCATTCAGCAGCTCCGATAGGCCGTGGCGCTGCGCTGGCATCGTTAGAAAACCTTGACGGCCCCGGGCCTGTGCTGTGGCTGGGGACCGCGGATACCGCTCCCCCTGCGGCCGCCGCCGCCGCCGCCGCTATTAGTACCGACGGCTGCTGCTGTGCCCCCAATACAACACCCCCGTTTGTTTGCCGCTCCTGCTGCTGCTGTTGTTCTTGTTGTTGCTGCTGCTGCTGAGGAGGAGGTGGCATCAACCCCGTCAGTGGCACTTGGTGCAAACTTGGTGCATTCTGGATGGCCATTTCACGCTGCTGGCTTGATGATGTGCGATGATATGAATGCCGAGACTCGCTCGAATGATGAGCTCGGAAGAGGTTAGGATGGGGGGAGGTGTATTCCGCGACCGCGGTTGCGGCATCGGCGATAGCATTTGCAATCTGTTGCTGCTGAGCTAGGGCGACCAGATGCCCACAAGATGGGGATGGCGACATGAGGGCAGGGCTTTGCGGCGGCGTCAGCTCCGCCGCCTCCATCTCCGCCACCCAATAGTCAAAGTAGACACGGAGATTGGAGCCGTATCGATGCTGCTCGTCGGTTACCTCTAGCCAATGCTCGCAGCGGAGCAACAGAGTCGGGTGCGGGTTTCGATACACGGACTGATGGGAAAGACGTTCCCGGCGGGGATCGATCCGGGGTTTCGGAGCCAAACACGTCACGAGACGACAAAAAAGGGTGGGAGGAATTAAGATCATCTAGGCAGCATAGAATAGCAAGATTGGGGTAATATATATGCTAGCTACAGGGCATGAGAAAATCCAATCGAAAGAGAATCCAAGTATGCAGCAACGATCCCTCCCGAGGCACCCTGATTTCCGTATGCCTCTCTCTGTCTCTGCCGTACCTCCCGAGAGCGCATCTTGCCAGCCAGCCTGGCGCCGCGGGTTGCGCGCACCCATTTGACGTAGTTGTTGTAATTCTCCCGGCTAAAGTGCTTGCAGGTAGTGACGCTAGCCTGACGCAGCGCCTCGCCGGCGACGCTGGCAGTCGTGTCGCTAAGACTCGCGCGGGACGCACGGAAAAAATGAGATGCCGCAGACGGGGAGCTGTTGCCGGGACCGCTTGTGTCTGAGCAGGTGCCCTGGCCAGCGGCGGCAGTGGCCGATGAGGCAGCTGCGGTGGCCGCGGAGGCAGTGGCACAGATGGAGGAGGTGAGCGCCCCGGCGGTGCTGCTGTTTCGTCCGGTCTTGGCTGAGGCGCGGTCGCTGCAGCTGCTGCTGGCGGTGGCAATGGCAGTCCCTGCGCTACGCTCCGCGGCGCTGAACAGGTCGCCGCCCTGTGTCGCAGCCGTGACGAGGTTTTCCAGACGCTCTTTCTGGCTATTAGAGCGCTGGCGCAATGATGGCTCAAGGATCAGCGAGGCTCCTGTCGCGGAAACTCCTCCTAATCGCAATGAGCCTTCAAACTCGCTATCACTATCGAAGCTGCTGCGGTTGCGGCCTGAAGTCTCCGCGCTGCCAGGACCTCGAAGTATGCTTCCAAGAGCCTGCGCTTCAGCTCAAGGGTGGCCAAGAGCGGAGGGCGTGGCGAAAGTTACGCGGAAGTTGTGCGACAACAACCGCAGCAAGCCCTGCAGGCGAAAGGAGGCTTCCTAGAGCTTTTCAGCCGAAATGTATACAGGAACATTCGTCACCGAAAACACGGCTGACAAGCTTGCCGATGGAAGGGGTGCTGCAAAGGACCGTAGCTCTCGCGTTGCTCCCATCCACCGATGGAGCTGCATGCTCACCTTGCCCACAAGTGCCAAGAGTTGGGGCATGTTCTATGAAGCTTTTAAGGTAGCGCTTGCGGCCGAGCCTCCGTCGAACGCTGCCGGAGGCCCGGCCGGGGTCCACTAGGTTAGCTCAGGCCGAGTTGAGCCAATAAAAAGGTGACCATAGAGGAATTTCAGCGCCGACGATCTGTGATTTGCATGTTTATGCCTTTTATGCGCATATGCTAACAACGCACATTCCACTTGGCCTGGCGACCTACGAGCTAGACAACTATGTATACGAAATGATAGACTGTGAAAGGGATTTCACAAGAGGGCGCTGGCAACGGGCGAAAACATTTGCACGCTGCAGATTGGTTAGACAAAACCTGTGTAAGCATTAAGCATGGGACTAGAAATGCTAGCTACAAGCTTTGTTCTGTTTTCGCTGCAAGTTAGCTTGCATTGTAATTATGCTCATTCGCCGTACTGCTACGTGGAAGCCCCAGTCTCGCACCACGGACCACTTCACTAGCATACACAAGTTTGCAGCAAGTCATACCACTGTGAGCTCGTATGGCCGTGGTCCTGGAAACCCCCCGTTAGCAACGGCATGGCTAGTTGCTGTGCAGCCTCAAGGTCGATATGAAATGCCGGGGCTGTGGGTGGCTAATACTATTGTTGGCCGAGTTTATCTATGGCGCTGCCGCGTCACCTACAGCGGGGCCAGTGGCGCCGAAGATAACGCAGACTTTGGAGTGCCGCATTATACAGGGTCCCACGGCACTTCTGGCGCAATTCGTGCTGCTATGCATAGTCCTCACAGCATTACTCATCAAACGGTAGGCGTCCGAAAAGTAGGAAAGCTAGCCGTGAACTTTCCGCTTCATTCTCGTATCCACCGTCTCGCGGCGCTTGTAGGCACCAAGAGCGGCCCCGGCGAGCATGGACTGTTTGGCTACTGGACGTCAGCAAGCAGGCTTGCTCCGCGGGAGCAGGGCACCTGTGCGGCATGGCCATTGCCGTTGTTGCGCATAAAGCGGCAACGCAGGCCTCTGAGTGCGGGTGAGCAGTCTTCGCTACCATATCCTCCCCTTCACCCAAGCAGAATTATTACTTTGCGGTCTGTCAACCTCTGTCGGGGTCCCAATCCTTGTCAGTTCGTCCCGTCACACCAGGCCATCACCCACGTTCATGCTCGCAACCTCGCAACCTACATTACGCCCTATTGCTCTAGCATCTGAAAGGGCTGGCTCCTCGCAACCTGGCTGGTATGCCACCGATTCCCCACCTTTCCGCGTCCCCACTTCTACACACCCCACTGTTAAGACTCCTTGCCGGTTACCCCTCAAGTCATCCTCCACTCTTCTTCCTACACTTGACACACACGATCTCCATAACCCCTCGCGAACCCCCATGACCCAAATCCCCCGGTATCCACAGCTCAGGCCCCCCGGCGTCCTCAGTCCTAGCTTGCCAATAACCTACAACCTTAACCAAAGCTTACATCCGCAGCCTAAGTCCTTCTCCGATATCCACAGCCGATATCCCATTACTCGAGCCTGGGAGTTCCTCACCTTTAGCACCTCTTTAGCATGTTTAACTCCAAACCCCCCCTCGTCCCCGCCGATATATGCCCCGTGCACCTATGTTGTAAATTTGAATTTTCAAAACCTTTTCCCCCAACAGATGGTACCTTGTAGTATACCTCATGGACTGTACGTTGGGCATTACGTTGGCCATCGTTTTCCACCGCCTGATGCACCGGGCTGCGCGGTGGCGGCATAGTCAGTTGATGGCGGCTCGGGACCGGGAGCACGAGCACCCCTGGACGGAGGCGCTGCTCGAGTCGGGGAATTACGGGGACCCGCCGAATGCGAGGTAGGGAATGGATGCCAGTGAAGGCAGGGAGGAGAGGGGAAAGGTGGGGTGGCAATGTATGCAAAGTCAGGAAGGGAAATAACAACTGCCGACTTTCAAAGCCCCGCAAACCGCCGTGGGAGTCCAAAGGCGGGGAGAAGGAGGAGGAGGAGGAGGAGAGGAAGGGGGGAGATGAGGGGGGCAGAGGAGGGGTTGAAGAGGAGGAGGAGGAGTTCAAAGCAAAACGACCCAAGTGGGGCGCGAAAGCTACCGACATGTTTAACGCGTCGTGTACCGGTGGCCGTCCTGAGCGTGTTGGTGTCCCCAGCGCTGTGTGGAAGGGTGTTATTGCTTCCAAAACCTTGTTAATATCATACTAGTCTTACGACGTTACCATTGACCGTCTCGGGAGGTGTTGGGGTTGGAGGGAAGGAGGGCAAGGAAATACGGGGGAGCAAAAGTCCTAGAAGGGACTCCTCTTGAAGAGATGAGGGGGAAGGGGTGTGGTTATCGTTCACCCTGCATTTGTCCCCTCCTGGTATCAGCTTCCACCGCCAGTGGTTCGTCTCACCCTCCCCCCCGCCTTGACACTGCGTCTCCCCCCCCCGCCTGGCCATCACCTTGTATCTCTCCAGGCGCTGGTTGATTCAGGCTGCCGGTTGGGTTACTTGTGTGGTGACCGCCCGGCTGTCAGTGGGCGGCACTGTGCTGTCCACTTTGAAGGTGGTGGAGCGAATGGCGCTGGCGCTGGACCGGGCCTTTGTCGGTCAGCCTGAGGCGGAGCTGTTCACTGTCATGGTGGGGATACCCATGCTGCTGAACGTGGGACAGGCGTGGATTCAGGACCAGGTGGGGTTATCGCGGGGGTGGGGCCGGGGGGAGGAGGTTGCGGGGGATGGAGGGGGAGTGAAGGGGTGGGGCTGGTGCGGGTGAAGGAACGGGAGAAAAGGAGCAGGAGGGGAGGGAAGGGGGAGGGGAGGGACGTGGGTGGGGTGTGGGTGTGGGTGCGTGCGCACGTATGCGGGTTGATGGTCCGGTAGTTGTGTGGGAGATGGGGCTTGTGGGGCCTCTTCACTTACGGGGCTCCTTCACCGCTTTCCAGTGCGCAGTACATTTCATTTAATCTCCGAGATCTCTTTTTGTTTTAGCTTCATGACAGTTTTCCTTACATTTGTTGCGTCTGGTGTATTTAACTATCTATAGCCTTTGACGTACGGTGTACGGCCTTTGCACGAACTCTTGGATTCTTTCGGATTCCGGTTCCCAAACAAAACAACGCCGTCATGGGAAACTCCAAGCTCAACTTGAAGTAGCCCTACCTCTCCTAATAAAGCATCTTTCGGCGCCCCCCCTTTCGGTATCAGGTGCTGAAATGGAGCGCGCGGCGGCGCATCAAACGTGGCGGCGACGCCCTGAGCGCCTCGGGGGATGTGACGGCTCTTCCCCACGGCGGCGGCGGCTGCGGAGGAGGAGGAGGAGGACTGCTCGGCGGCGCCGGCGGCGGTGACGTCGCCATGGTGCAGGTGCTGGTGCCTGCGGGACGGAACCGCGGCACGGCAGGCGAGAGGGTGGTTACCATTGCTTCATGATGATGATGATGATGATGATGAGGGCGCGACTGTTGGATGGCGGGCGGGCGGGTGGGTGGGCCGGGGGGTTGGGTGGGTGGGACCCCCATGGAGTCGTGTTGGTTACCTGTCTACAGCTATACCTGTCTGTTTGGAAAGGCAGCGAGGCGTGGCAGTGCAGTCAAGTTCAGTTTGTCACGGTGTCTGCAGCGCCCTGACTCGGCACGGTACGGCACGACCGCGTGTGATTTGCTTGCGTTGCGGGGGGGTAGGTTGCCCAGGAGGGAAAGTCGGGAAAGGGAGCGAAACGACGCTTGGCAAGAGCTACGTCCTGTTGAGGACGGTGGGGTTGGGAGTGAGGGTGGATTGCAGCTTTTCAGGTTCACCTTGCATGGCAGCTGCGAATGGGATATGTAGCGAACCAGTGAGTGAGCGAGTGCGTTTCCTTTTCGTCGCCGGCATCGCGGTCCATGTAAACGTCGTCATTTGTAAACGTCGCCGTTGACGAGAGGACAAGAGGGTTTTAGTGTTTGGGCGGATATTGCCCCTTTGGCAGCGGTGGGGTTTTTTTGTACTTGAGCTGGAGGGGTATACCCCTCTTTTGTGTTGGGGGGACAAGAGGTTTCAAAACACGCGCGATGCTTGACGGTGTGACATGTAGATGATGTCAGATGTCGTACCAAAAAATGATGTCGTACGGCGCGTGACGGGGGAGATCCGACGCGGGTTTTGTTACTCGTGGTAGTATGGATAATTATTATCTACGACGGACAAACGGACAGACAGACGTTGGTGACAGACTGACACACAGACTGGGTGATCATGGCGAATGGCTGGGCGAGGAGGAAGTGGTGGGGGGGGGGGGGAGAGGGGGTGTATGTGTGTGCGGGAAGGAGTGTATGAGGCTCACTACAGAGCGGTAATGCGAAGGGGGGTAACTGCAGGCGCTCGGGCATATCAAAAGGCTGTGCATGTAGTAAAGCTGCGTAAGCAATGCCGCTTTTAGATCGCTTCACAGATTTTAGATTGCTGCAGCTGCTGCTGCTGCTGCTGCTGCTTAGGTGCGTGGCGGTGCAAGGGCCCTTCATCTGTTGCTAGGAAGTAGGCGCGGTAGTGTAGTAGGTGGCAGTGTGCATAGCTGCATATGCGCAGAAATGCATGTGGATTATACGGCCGGATGCCGTGTTTGTACGGGTGTCGTACACTTGCTTATGTCGGCGGCGGGGTCATGTTTTTGTCACGACGCAAATGTGGGGGGCTTTGGTGTTTTGCTTTTCGCGCACTCACGAAAAGGTGCAAAGGTTACATGCTTTGCCGTACATGTGAAGACGGAGTTGCGGTCATATGTGCAGCTCGTGTAGCTCGTGTAGTTGTGCACCCTAGCGCGTCCCGTTGCGATTGCCTGCACATCCTCCTTGTTGTTGATGATGCTGTTTCTAGCTGCTAGTACTGCTGGGCATCGGGACTCAGGGGTTTTGTTGGTAGTACTGCTGACATCGCCGCTGGGATTGTGTTTTTCCCTTTCGTCTTCTGGGGGCCGGCGGCAGCATATCCCTGCGATCTCTAAAGACCCATAAAAGGTGCCGTACGGAGTTTCAAATCGTCTTTTTGGGGGAACACGAGGACTTTCGGATTCAGGGCTGTGTACTTGGTGTACCTATCGGACGCTTCATGGAGACTTCACCTCATATCATGTGGATCTGGATCCGGAATGAGATCTGGATCTGTTTTCTAAGGACGGTCTGGAGGAGGGAATCTCAACTGTTTTTCGGAAGTTACTTCTGATGTTAAAATAATTTATAGCTTTGATGCAAAGTGCATGAAGTGAATGCAAAGCGAGCTAATGGGATCTTTGTGCTTCATTCCTGCTAATGTGTCGCGTTAATGGAGCAGCTGTGCGACCTGAGCAGCTTTTTCGCGCCGTTGTGTGTCGGAAGGAACTGACGTGGCTCTTTGTAGATAATAATGGCCGAAAGGAGTACGGAAAGCAGAACGTTCACAACGCTCACGTTCTTCTGGACGCAAGGCAATTTGGTGATATGCCTGCGTCATATCGAAAGAACTGAAAACAGGCGCGCACCAAAAGGTAAGGACAATGGCGCAATGAAATCTTTTTCAAGGAGTTCGGAAATTTGGCATTTCGCATTTTTTTCAGCCTCGGTAGCCGAGTATTACCGAACTACGAGAGCTATGCAAGGCAGCCCTGCAGCGTAGCTTATCAACCTTCAAAACAAAGGTACCAAGACCAGCCCCAGCGCAAACAAAAAGGTTATCGAAGCCGCTGATAGAGCTCCTGCTGCTGTTGCCTAAAACCTTACGCCAAATAGGACATGGACACCTAGACAAACCATCCAACAACCAGGCCGCCAAAATCAACAGTAAGAGCGTACTTGGAATCATCGGGCTGGATGCCTCCATGCAGCGCTTATTTCTGGGCCTATCCGACGCAGCAGCAGTGAAGCTTACTTAGGCTACGGCAAGCGTGCCGGTACCTGCCGCCAAAGCAAATTTCACGGCCAGCGCCCCGAGCGCAACTGCCAGTGCGCCAACGAGCGCCCAGATCCGCCGAGTGGTTGCATGTACCTGGTCCCGTATCTGCGAACAGCAGTCAGCAGCAAGGTTGCGGCGATGGAAGTGCAACCAGTTAATATTCATGAATAAACTAAAAGCTTGATGAAGCAATTGCGGTAAGGACGCGCGTCTAAGTTGTAATCCTAAGGTTTTTTTTGTGTGTGTGTGCGTGTGTGTGTGCGTTCCCCCACGAAGTTGCAAACCGCCCTAATACGAGCCGAGGGCTCAAGGGCTGCCAGATCGCCTGTAAGCACCATCCTACCTCGCACTTCAAACAAAGCAAGTGATAAACGATACGAACGACCAAAGGGAACGATAGAGTTGCGGTGGGACCATATACGTTCCTAAGTTATAAACGGCGGCGCTTTTCACTGAGCCGTCCTTTCCTCAATTACTAATTTTTCAAGCGCTTGAACGTAGATATTTAGCAATCCTCGATTCCAGCCAGCATTAGTCGTTGGCATGGCATACGAATGAATGAAAAACGATGCGGGAAAGGACGTGCAAAACGCTGACGTCTTGTGGGATGCGGCACAAGAAAAAATGCAAATATGCCAGATTGGACCTTCGCCATATATGATATGTTTGCAATATCATCAAGGCAGTCAAGAGTCAAGGCTGCTGCTCTATCACTCGTTGGCGCAAGCCAAATCGCCGCATGTTCCACACATATCCAACCAGATGCCCACTAGTACCTGCAAACCGCCCTAATACGAGCCGAGGGCTCAAGGGCTCCACTAAAAGCACATCTTGAGGCACCCACAAAACAATTCCCCATCCAACTGAAACCACTCTTCTCCCCACCTGCGCATAGCTCATCTCCGCCTGTTGTATCAGTACGAACGTTTGCTGCGAAAACACCTTTGGAGCCAGCCGATGGAGAAACATCCGAAGCATTACATTCAAGCCCCACAGGGCGCGCCGAATTTTATCCTGACTGTACTGTTTTCCGTACAATGGTACGGAATGTACAACGGTACATGGACAAAATGGGGCGTACGGCATTGCGCCAGGGGTTGATAAAGGGGTGGGGATGAGAGTTGGGGACAACGGCGAACAACCGCGGGTGGCCTAACGATCTTAATTGGTGCTAAATTAGGCAATCCAGACAGGAGTAAAAGTATATATTGTGCAAGGAAAAGAATCGCGTACGACATGTATTGTACGTCAACAAAGACATTCGTTCAAAACGCCTACCAAAAAGCTCAGACCGAGTCATACATGCACTGGCGCTGTGATGGCGGGTACATGTGACCCTGCTCACATTTGCCCCAAGGTGACGAGCCTAAAAAGGCCACCCGCAGCGATCGACACATTGGCTTTTGGGGGTGTTTACGACGGGCTAAATTGGCCGTGCTGCCGTACAGAGCGATAAGGCCCATGCTGCTTCTGCACTGTCGTACCTGGTACGGCGCTCCGAAAGTCATTATCTCAGCCAGCGCCGCGGCCTCTGGCGCCCGGCGCCCCTCGTAAAGAGGCAGCGCCCGGGCCAGGTTGCCATCCTCCTCGTGTAGAGCCTGAACAGGACATACCCCCAGCGGGCGCATATGCAGGGGAATCAGAACTTTACGCACTAAGAGAGTCCAATCCAGACAGGAATAGGTCCGGACCAGCTAGCAGGAAAAAACGGGGAGGGGGTTGGATTGAGTGTATGACATAGGTAATCTGCTAATTGGAAATCAGTGGTACGGACAAGTACGGCAAACTACGGCACTCCTTCACTTTGCACCCCTGCATAGTCACGACGCTGTACGGACCTATAGCTGAATATGCTATGGGGTCACGTACCCCCCAACCATGTAACACAGACACACACATATATACCCTCATCCAGGCTCCAGTTCCCGGAGGAGCAACATGCACAGCTATCACGAACGTGCCGTCTGTAGTAGCTGGTACACAGTACGGCACACATAACCTCTACAAATACGCGCTTAGCGCGACCGCCAGCATTTCGAGCGGCCTTTTCAGCGGCCAGATACTACACCGTCCCCCAACACTACATCACTCAGCGGCGTAGCCCCAATACCCTGCACCGCAGCAACTGCCCGTGTCTTGCCCCCTAATGTACGGCTGCCGTACAGTACGGCGATTACACACCTTTGCAAATTCCATCACGTCCTGCATGGCGCTGTTTACTCCCTGGCCCAGGTCCGGTGGAAAGCAGTGTATCGCGTCTCCCAAAAGTACCACGCCACAGGAGGAGGAGGCGGCGGCGGCGGCGGCGGCGGCAAACTGCTGGTCGCTGTCGCGTGGCGTGTACGGCAGTACGGCAATGAAATGGCGCATGTACTGCGGGCGCGGGAAGGATCCGCCACGCGACTTGGCGGCGGCCTCCAGCTGCTGTTCGTTGAAGAGCGCTGAGACGTCGAGTTGCGGGAAGGACTCCTGAGAGGCACTAGCAGGAAAATTGGAGGATGAACTCAGCGAGGCGTGGCAAGGCAAGGAGACGTTAGAGAAGCAAGGACGGAGTGAAGAAAAGAGAGGAGGGAATGCGATTTACTATATATACGATAGGAAGGAAGGAAGAAGCAAATCTTCTAAATACCGTACAGTGCCGTGTTGCCGTACTGCGTGTCCATGCACGCGTTCCTACGGCCCCCACTTGTGCCACATTCACACCGAATACAACTAACGAAAGAGACCACAACATGAGCACATACACAGGCACATTGACATACACACAGACATACACGACGCGCCAAGTGGCAACGCACACACAAGTATACACAAATACCGGTTAACATATCAGTTAAAGCACGGAGTCAAAGTACACAGCAGTAACCGGGCAACCACGACTGTCTCCCCATCAAACGCTAATAAGCTGCTACTACTACTACTACTACTAGTACTACTACTACTACTGCTGCTACTGCTACTACTACTACTACCACTACTACTGCTACTGCTACTACTACTACTACTACCACTACTACTGCTACTGCTACTAGTAAACTCGCCTGCAGGAAGGCACCCAGCTTCTCCCCGGTGTCGAGCGTCCAAAAGACGTGGTCAGATGGCGCGATGACGTTGGCAGTCCTCGGAGAGCTCGGGTCCCGGAAGGGCAGCATCCCGAGCTGCATGGCCCGCTGCCTAGGTGCCTTGATACTGGGGATCATCGCAAACTGCGAGTTTGGTAGGACGCGGTGACTGCTGCCGCTGCCGCCGGCTGACACAGTCGCCTGTTCCTGCTGCTGTTCTTTCTTCTTCTGCTGCTGCGGTGGTTGCTGCGGTGGTTGCTGCTTTGTGCGGAACGGAGGGTTGGGGGGCACGTTCAACACCTTGTAGCGGAGGCCCGCGGATGGCGAGTCGAGCACCACGGGACTGAAGGTTCCTTCGGGAAGGCCCGCCGTCGGCGCCCAGAGCTCTAGCGCCCGGCGCACTTCACTGGCCGCTCCGTCAGCTCCTACAAGCAAACGGGGGGTAAAACACAGCTCCCGCCCGGCGCCGCCGGCTTCACGAACATGTACGGCAATAGGTAATACGGCGGCGGACGCACGTCCTCGTCCTGGTGCCGCTAGCTCGATGTTCGTCACTTTGGCGTCGTACATAATCCGCACCCGGCCCTGCTGCTCCGCCTCCGCTAGGCCGCTGTGCAGGGCCCGCAGAAAGGCCCGTCGGGGCAACCAAACGGAAGCTCGCGAGGAGTCCTGGAAAACGCGGGCGGGGGGGAAACCAGAACGAACCAGAACGAATCAAGGAAAGGAAGAAATGCTGAGGTGGAAAAGACCAGCCATGCACGGCTGCTCCGTACAAAATATTGCTCTCAGAAAATCACCCCAGGATGCACCTCAGCAACGCCTATTAGGCTGTAAGTCAACAAATATATTACAGGAGCATAAACACATGCGCCATTCGCAAAATCTTCGATATCTTCAGAGGAAGAAGAATTAGGCTGATGGAATGGAAACCTCTTGGATTGCTGCCGGTGCCTGATCGGTGTCGTACGCCGGTACGGAAGACACACCTTGAAGTCGAAACGGCGTTCGCTGTAGGTGCAGTCCGGGTAAACCCGCGAAATCGATAGCCCCGTAGAGCAGACACCCGCCGCCTCCACCGCCTTCGTAACGCCCGCAGAGTCGGTCAGCGAGAAGCCCCGGCCGTCGATCATATATGTGTACGACTTGTCAGCCTCCTCCGCGTCTATAAGTGTATGAGTGCGTGAGGTAGACAGAAACAGGCCAGGAAATAGGCGCTACAGTGGGTTTATGAATTGAATGATGATAATGAGAAGAACACAATGGGGAACTCTAAAATTTAAACTGCATGGTCGGGTTTTGGGGGGTAGGTGTAACCGGTTGTGTATTGTCTCTTGTGTTATGTGTTGTGTTGCGTTTGGAATTGCACTAGTTTGGAAAAAGGACTTCATACCGCTGCTGAAGCTCGCCACGATCTGTAGCTGAACGAGTTTTCAAAAGCGCCGTCAAGTACGACACCTCGAATTCAGGTTCACTACCCTGTACGATGCCACACAAGCGCAACACAGGCTGCAAGGTAGACACAGCATTTTTCCCAGAGCGCCAAGCCCACCGAGACACGGCGATATCACGTACTTCGATCCTCAACATGTTTCCACGCAGTTCGACACACGGCGACGGCATGGATCTCGTGTTTGATGGTAGTGTTGTCATACTGCGTTTTTGTGCATGCCGTACAAATCACACGCCGTGCGGTTTGTTTCATTCCCTCAAAAAACTGTTGCTTGTCCCGAGGCCGCAGACACAGCCATGATACACACACACACACAGTCATTGTCAATCCCCCTCCGTTGCCGCGCCGCGCCAAGCTCGCCAATGTGCTCACCGATAGACGGTCGCTTCTCTAGCAAGACGATCCGCTCCCAGCGCGGGCTCTGCTGTTGGGCCAGCAGTAACGCAGTTGCTAGCCCAGCTGGCCCGGCACCCACAATGACAACATCACAAGCCTCTGGCAAAGATTGGGATGAGGACATCTGTGACGACGATGAAGGCGAAAGTCCTGGCGATGCAGCCGCAGCAGTACTGGATGGTATGCCAGCAGCAGCTGGAGTTTTCACCAAGGAAGCTGACTTCCGGGCCCTTGGAGGGGAAGATGATGGTTTTTGTGTGTCTATAGGAAGCGTGGAATGTCGAGGAGTGGGCCCTGCGTTACGACGCGGCGCAGCGGCGTTCCGGAATTGTAACGCGTGATGGCTTAGAGGAAGCGCATGGGCGCGGGCGGCAGCGGAGGAGCCTTGATTCCGAGTATTGGTGGTGCTGCAGTAGCCGCGACTGTGCAGATTAGGCGTGCTGACAGCCGGAGCGCAAGCAGAAAAGCGCCGAAGACACAACGATGCGTCAAAGGCGTTACCATGTATGGCAGAATGCATTGTTAAATTTGCAGAAAACATGTCGAAACGAATCTGACTAGTGCCTGAAAGCTTAATCCGTAACATCCCGCAAGATTAGGATTAGCGGGTGTTTCCACTTGGCCGCGCACTAACTTTCCAACATTATTTTTAAAGTGGACTTAGTGTGTGGCTATTGAACAGGTGTTTCCACTAAGCGCCCCGGAACCATACGACAGGTTGCTATTAAGGCACTAAACTATTGTTATAGTAAGAGTGGGTGTAAGTTAATGCGCAAATTATTAAAGTTTGGTCGGCTAATTGCTGGAATGTGGGCAATTCGACCGGTTCTGCTGGAATTCCACTGGTTAGCGGGCTATTTGCGGCTGTGGATAAAGGAAAATACAAAAGTCGAGGAAGGACCTTGTGGAAGGAAAATGGCTAAGTATGAGTTTTCTCGCTCGGAAGTTAATGTCCACTTTGAAAGTTATCAGCAGGTCTGAGGCCCTGATAACTAGTGTGTCACTTATGATTTGCTGAGCCAGGTGTGAGATTTTTTGAACTTAATGTTAGTGAGCGGCCAAGTGGAAACACCCTGTAGTGACCATTGTGCGCTCGTACAGGAGCTTTTCGCAGAAAAAAATAAAATCATTACTTTTTAAATGCGAGCAACCTTCCTAATCTACTGGCAGAGATTTGGAGTGGAAATGTTTTGCTACTCGGTGGCCATCGCGTAATTGGCAATCACGGATTAACGCGGTGTACAACGTCTTCTTGACAACTTGATTGACATCTTGAAAGGTTACCTTTTATAACGGCTGTAGGTGTTCTAATTTTGTGGGCGCTTTGCACTTCTGGCTCGGCAAATGCACCGCACCATGCCATGGGTGTCATTCAAAGGTGCTGCAAGGCCTTCGTATTGATACTCGATAGTCCTTAATTGTCCAGCAGTACTCTTTTTTGCAAATTATGCTCGAAATGGCAATTGTTGTACTTAAGTCCAATATAGGCTACATCTACAGCACAAGGTAAGGACCGGCAATGGGGACTACATCAATGGGGACGTTGTCCCGATATGGTGAAGCAGGGAAACACGGCATGCTGGAGCTTAAGATTTGGGATGCATTGACATTTTTGTCTTCTATGTCATATCGTTTGTAACAGCCGGGCGACATTTTATGACACGATGGTGCGGTTGAATGAGTGCAGCAAGTACACAAAAGTTGCCCGTTAAATAGTTGGTGCTAGGTTTGAAAGTTAACGGCAGATCTGAGGTCCTTTGTGACGCGCTAGTGTCAGGGCTCGGGCCGAAACGTAAACCTGCCGTAACGGAAACCTACCGTAACTAGTTTCGGGGTTTCCGACGAAGAGGTCCTTGGTCAACGGAAAGGCCGAAACTAGTTTCGGCCACTTTCGGCTAGCGCCGTGCGGCGGAACACCTACTTTTAAAGCGTACGCGCGGTATTTAATGCTGCGAAACTCTGCGATGGGTTAATTGACCTTTAAAATGTCTGAAACAATTTCCGTTGTCAGTGCGAACCCAGAGACGTCAGCTGGGGCGGTCAAAAACAAGGGCGGAAGGCCCTCTGATCAGACCGTTTGGGCTCATTTCGAAAAGAAAGGTTACAACTCCAAGTCTAAGAACTGGATCATCATCTGCAAGTACTGCCGGCTCGAGTTCAAACAAGGGCGCCTTCAGGTGTTGCTCTTACGTATCCTCAAGATAATATACCAATGGCACGAAAGAAGTTTCAGATGAAGCAGCCTATCGCCTCAGGCGGGTGACCATAGAGTGACGAGGGGTGCCGGAGAGTGCTCTGAGCACATCCCAGGTGCGCGACGGCACGTAGGGCCCACTTATAACGTTTATTAAGCCAAAACGTCATTAAATACAGCATTTTCAGGGCTTCGGCAGTTTCCGACAGTTTCGCGAGGTTTCGCAGAAGGGTCCAGATTTCGGAAACTATTTCGGCTAACGCAGTACAGTTTCGGCCCGAGCCCTGGCTAGTGTGGACTTAGTGTACGGGGTGTTTCCACTAGGCCTTACAGTTCGCCGCCAGAAGTGCGCCAACCTCCGATTTGTTTGAAGAATATTTGTTTCCATCATTAGTTATATCAACATATCCATTTAGAACGGTGAGAGACAAGTCCAGGACGAAGAACATCCGAACATAGTGTTAGTGTGCGGCCAAGTGGAAAAACCCCGAAAGCTTTCGGGCACTAGGCACTTTGATACCTAGTCAGATACGTTTCGACATATTTTCTGCAAATTTAACAATGCATTCTGCCTTACATGGTAACGCCTTTGACGCATCGTTGTGTCTTCGGCGCTTTTCTGCTTGCGCTCCGGCTGTCAGCACGCCTAATCTGCACAGTCGCGGCTACTGCAGCACCACCAATACTCGGAATCAAGGCTCCTCCGCTGCCGCCCGCGCCCATGCGCTTCCTCTAAGCCATCACGCGTTACAATTCCGGAACGCCGCTGCGCCGCGTCGTAACGCAGGGCCCACTCCTCGACATTCCACGCTTCCTATAGACACACAAAAACCATCATCTTCCCCTCCAAGGGCCCGGAAGTCAGCTTCCTTGGTGAAAACTCCAGCTGCTGCTGGCATACCATCCAGTACTGCTGCGGCTGCATCGCCAGGACTTTCGCCTTCATCGTCGTCACAGATGTCCTCATCCCAATCTTTGCCAGAGGCTTGTGATGTTGTCATTGTGGGTGCCGGGCCAGCTGGGCTAGCCACTGCGTTACTGCTGGCCCAACAGCAGAGCCCGCGCTGGGAGCGGATCGTCTTGCTAGAGAAGCGACCGTCTATCGGTGAGCACATTGGCGAGCTTGGCCCGGCGCGGCAACGGAGGGGGATTGACAATGACTGTGTGTGTGTGTGTATCATGGCTGTGTCTGCGGCCTCGGGACAAGCAACAGTTTTTTGAGGGAATGAAACAAACCGCACGGCGTGTTATTTGTACGGCATGCACAAAAACGCAGTATGACAACACTACCTTCAAACACGAGATCCATGCCGTCGCCGTGTGTCGAACTGCGTGGAAACATGTTGAGGATCGAAGTACGTGATATCGCCGTGTCTCGGTGGGCTTGGCGCTCTGGGAAAAATGCTGTGTCTGCCTTGCAGCCTGTGTTGCGCTTGTGTGGCATCGTACAGGGTAGTGGACCTGAATTCGAGGTGTCGTACTTGACGGCGCTTTTGAAAACGTTCAGCTACAGATCGTGGCGAGCTTCAGCAGCGGTATGAAGTCCTTTTTCCAAACTAGTGCAATTCCAAGCGCAACACAACACATAACACAATAGATAATACACAATCGGTTATACCTACCCCCCAAAACCCGACCATGCGATTTAAACTTTAGCAATCCCCATTGCGCTCTTCTCATTATCATCATTCAATTCATAAACCCACTGTAGCGCCTATTTCCTGGCCTGTTTCTGTCTACCTCACGCACTCATACACTTCCAGACGCGGAGGAGGCTGACAAGTCGTACACATATATGATCGACGGCCGGGGCTTCTCGCTGACCGACTCTGCGGGCGTTACGAAGGCGGTGGAGGCGGCGGGTGTTATCTGTTCGGGGCTATCGATTTCGCGGGTTTATCCGGATGGCACCTACAGCGAACGCCGTTTCAACTTCAAGGTGTGTCTTCCGTACCGGCGTACGACACCGATCTGGCACCGGCACCAATTCAAGAGGTTTCCATTTCATCAACCTGATTTTTCTTCCTCTGAAGATATCGAAGATTTAGCGCATGGCGCACGTATTTATGCTCCTGTAATATATTTGTTGACCTGCAGCCTGATAGGCGTTGCTGAGGTGCATCCTGGGGTGTTTTACTGAGCAATATTTTGTACGGAGCAGCCGTGCATGGCTGGTCTTTTCCACCTCAGCATTTCTTTGATTCGTTCTGGTTCGTTCTGGATTCCCCCCCGCCCGCGTTTTCCAGGACTCATCGCGAGCTTCCGTTTGGTTGCCCCGACGGGCCTTTCTGCGGGCCCTGCACAGCGGCCTAGCGGAGGCGGAGCAGCAGGGCCGGGTGCGGATTATGTACGACGCCAAAGTGACGAACATCGAGCTAGCGGCACCAGGACGAGGACATGCGTCCGCCGCCGTATTACCTATTGCCGTACATGTTCGTGAAGCCGGCGGCGCCGGGCGGGAGCTGTGTTTTACCCCCCGTTTGCTTGTAGGAGCTGACGGAGCGGCCAGTGAAGTGCGCCAGGCGCTAGAGCTCTGGGCGCCGACGGCGGGCCTTCCCGAAGGGACCTTCAGTCCCGTGGTGCTCGACTCGCCATCCGCGGGCCTCCGCTACAAGGTGTTGAACTTGCCCCCAAACCCTCCGTTCCGCACAAAGCAGCAACCACCGCAGCAACAGAAGAAGAAAGAACAGCAGCAGGAACAGGCGACTGTGTCTGCTGGCGGCAGCGGCAGCAGTCACCGTGTCCTGCCAAACTCGCAGCTTGCGTCGGTCGCCGGTATCAAGGCACCTAGGCAGCGGGCCATGCAGCTCGGGATGCTGCCCTTCCGGGACCCGAGCTCTCCAAGGACTGCCAACGTCATCGCGCCATCTGACCACGTCTTTTGGACGCTCGACACCGGGGAGAAGCTGGGTGCCTTCCTGCAGGCGAGTTTACTAGTAGCAGTAGTAGTGGTAGTAGTAGTAGTAGCAGTAGCAGCAGTAGTAGTAGTACTAGTAGTAGTAGCAGTAGTAGCAGCTTATTAGCGTTTGATGTGGAGGCAGTAGTGGTTGCCCGGTTACTGCTGTGTACTTTTACTCCGTGCTTTAACGGATATGTTAACCGGTATGTGTGTATACTTGTGTGTGCGTTGCCACTTGTGTATGTCAATGTGTATGTGCACATGTTGTGGTCTCTTTCGTTAGTTATATTCGGTGTGAATGTGGCACAAGTGGGGGCCGTAGGAACGCGTGCATGGACACGCAGTACGGCAACACGACACTGTACGGCTTTAGAAGATTTGCTTCTTCCTTTTTCTTTCCTGCTTTATCGTATGTATGTTGTTACAGGGTGGTATAGCTTCACCAGCGGTCCCCTTACCCGAGGCAATGCCCTGCTCTCCCCTGCGAGAGGGGCACCCTAATCCATTCACCACATCCGACTTCAGAATATATTCGTTGGGTTCAGCAACTCACCACCAGCGTCCAACCAAATCTAGCGGATCAACGGCGCCTCAACTTAGTTCCTGGTCCGCTCGCAAGTTGATATAATCACGTCCTACACCGTCCGCAAGATGGGGAGCCATCTTCCAAATCAACACCCCTCACACTCTGAGGAGTCGGCAGGCGGATTTGAATCTGGAACCTCCGGGAGCAGAAATCAGGCCTTAACCTCTGCCAGCCACTTGCCTTTCGTATATATAGTAAATCGCATTCCCTCCTCTCTTTTCTTCACTCCGTCCTTGCTTCTCTAACGTCTCCTCGCCTCGCCTCGCTGAGTTCATCCTCCAATTTTCCTGCTAGTGCCTCTCAGGAGTCCTTCCCGCAACTCGACGTCTCAGCGCTCTTCAACGAACAGCAGCTGGAGGCCGCCGCCAAGTCGCGTGGCGGATCCTTCCCGCGCCCGCAGTACATGCGCCATTTCATTGCCGTACTGCCGTACACGCCACGCGACAGCGACCAGCAGTTTGCCGCCGCCGCCGCCGCCGCCTCCTCCTCCTGTGGCGTGGTACTTTTGGGAGACGCGATACACTGCTTTCCACCGGACCTGGGGCAGGGAGTAAACAGCGCCATGCAGGACGTGATGGAATTTGCAAAGGTGTGTAATCGCCGTACTGTACGGCAGCCGTACATTAGGGGGCAAGGCACGGGCAGTTGCTGCGGTGCGGGGGATTGGGGCTACGCCGCTGAATGATGTAGTGTTGGGGGACGGTATTCAGCTATAGGTCCGTACAGCGTCGTGAATATGCAGGGATGCAAAGTGAAGGAGTGCCGTAGTTTGCCGTACTTGTCCGTACCACTGATTTCCAATTAGCAGATTACCTATGTCATACACTCAATCCAACCCCCTCCCCGTTTTTTCCTGCTAGCTGGTCCGGACCTATTCCTGTCTGGATTGGACTCTCGGAGTGCGTTAAGTTCTGATTCCCCGGCATATGCGCCCGCTGGGGTAATGTCCTGTTCAGGCTCTACACGCGGCGGATGGCAACCTGGCCCGGGCGCTGCCTCTTTACGAGGGGCGCCGGGCGCCGGAGGCCGCGGCGCTGGCTGAGATAATGACTTTCGGAGCGCCGTACCAGGTACGACAGTGCAGAAGCAGCATGGGCCATATCGTTCTGTACGGCAGCACGGCCAATTTAGCCTGTCGTAAACACCCCCAAAAGCCAAGGTGTCGGATCGCTGCGGGTGGCCTTTTTAGGCTCGTCACCTTGGGGCACCTGTGAGCAGGGTCACATGTATCACATCCCGCCATCACAGCGCCAGTGCATGTATGACTCGGTCTGAGCTTTTAGGTAGGCGTTTTGAACGAATGTCTTTGTTGACGTACAATACATGTCGTACGCGATTCTTTTCCTTGCACAATAATACTTTTACTCCTGTCTGGATTGCCTAATTTAGCACCCAAGATCGTTAGGGCACCCGCGGTTATTCGCCGTTGTCCCAAACTCTCATCCCCACTCGCCCCCGCTCTCTTGGCCCCTAAAACCCCTTTATCCAAACCCTGGCGCAATGCCGTATATCCCATGCCGTCCATGTACCCTTGTACATTCCGTACCGTTGTACGGAAAACAGTACAGTCAGGATAAAATTCAGCTCACCCTGTGTGGCTTGAATGTAATACTTCGGATGTTTCTCCATCGGCTGGCTCCAAAGGTGTTTTCGCAGCAAACGTTCGTACTGATACAACAGGCGGAGATGAGCTATGCGCAGGTGGGGAGGAGAGTGGTTTCAGTTGGATGGGGAATTTTTTTGTGAGTGCTTCAAGATGTGCTTTTAGTGGAGCCCTTGAGCCCTCGGCTCGTCTTAGGGCGGTTTACAGGTACGGGGAACGCACCCCACGACCATGTAACACACACACGTAACTTAGGATTACAACTTAAACGCGCGTCCTTACCGCAATGGCTTCATCAAACTTTTAGTTTATCAATGAATATTAACTGCTTGCACTTCCATCGCTGCTTACAGCCTTGCTGCTGACTGCTGTTCGCAGATACGGGACCAGGTACATGCAACCACTCGGCGGATCTGGGCGCTCGTTGGCGCACTGGCAGTTGCGCTCGGGGCGCTGGCCGTGAAATTTGCTTTGGCGGCAGGTACCGGCACGCTTGCCGTAGCCTAAGTAAGCTCCACTGCTGCTGTGTCGGATAGGCCCAGAAATTAGCGCTGCATGGAGTCATCCAGCCCGATGATTCCAAGTACGCTCTAACTGTTGATTTGGGCGGCCTGGTTGTTGGATGGTTTGTCTAGGTGTCCATGTCCTATTTGGCGTAAGGTTTTAGGCAACAGCAGCAGGAGCTCTATCAGCGGCTTCGATAACCTTTTTGTTTGCGCTGGGGCTGGTCTTGGTACCTTTGAAGGTTAATAAGCTACGCTGCAGGGTCGCCTTGCATAGCTCTCGCAGTTCGGTAATGTACGAGCAGTACGAATATTACCCCATGATATATATACATTACTTTGCTGCATTACAGTCCGTGACTTTATTTGTCATGTGTGTGTGTAACATGTTTGTCACTTGCCCGCCAACTATTCCGATTAGGCACCTGTTGCCCGACTGCGAATGTGTAAATAAATGTATTTATATCTGATTTTGTTGTGTTTTACACCTCCTGGAGTTGCATCACCCGCCAATGTTGTAATGGGCTCATACATACGAGCCGTGCTTGTCCGAAATAGACAGCTGCTAGACAGGAAGGGGTCATTGCTGTTAATGTTGCTGCTGCAGCTTGAGGAGGAGGTGGAGGTGGGGCAGCAGCGCTGGGTGGGGGCGATGTCGTCATCATCACGGCGGCAGCTGGAGGTGCAGACGCCGGTGGTGTCGCAAGGAGAATCCATGATAGCGATGAATGAAGCCTTTGGGCAAAACAATCACATGCGAAGGACGGGCAGCTGAAAACCTCAATGTGATGTCCGTGTACAGAGAAGAAAGAAGAGCGGGCCCGGATGCGAGCCAGGGTGCAGGCCAAGCAATTCCTTAACCAATCCACTCGTGGCACTCACATTATATGAAGAGATATGAGACGGGTGGCGAGAATAAACCAATACAACTGGGTCGTTCACTGCCACCGCAGATCATGATGCCCGAAGGCATGAAAGTTGCGGCGACGCAAGTTGTGGCTTGCGGTTTCTAAAGAGGGGCAAGATCGCTCTGCTTTTGCGAACAGAATAGACGAGCTTATGTAGTTTGTTTGGTCGCGCCTTTTCATAGACTGCCATACCACCGTACCAAAATCGATGCATGGACCATCGGACAGTTTTACGTTGCGTCTTTCATGAATTGGAGACAAGCTTGCAGCATGCAGGATTTGTTGCATAAACTTAAACTTCTCGCAAATCCCATGAATGATTAGCAAAAGCCCAATCGCCCCGACAGCGTTCGCTCTGATTGGGTTTGTAAATTTGCGCAGTGAATCTAAGCAGCGATGTCAAAGCGAACTGTAATCGACAAATGGATGTGTTGAATCCGACACCCATTTTCGAAATGACGCATGGTATTGTTTTCCTTTCAGGGCGCAACGTTAACCCTAGAGCCGCTGCAGCTCACCCAGCCATAAGTTGGAATCGAACATCGCTGGTTGCCTGTGAAGGAGACATCGTTTTGAGGCTCCGCTCACCTCCGCGATGCAGCAGCAGCATCCGGCCCCTTGGCGATCCCCGGGCAACACATTTACAGCTCCATTCAGCAGAGCACCTCCGGTTGCTGCTGAGGTTAATGCCCCATAGCGTATTACCGGTAACTCGCAGCTCATTCTTACACCAATGTAATGTGATTGGCAGCAGGTGGCCGGCAGCCTAGGTTTATCAACTGAGGACACAGCTGGGAATTGTCCGCTGCTGGCGTTCAGATTGTCAGGTGGCTGGATCATGGATTTAAAGTCCCAGGCCCCAAGGAGCTTCGTCGAGGGAAGGCCTTTATTCATTTTACTTTTGTTGCCTGTAGAACTACGGGTTAAAGGAGGCCTGAAGGGCAGCTTCCCTGCTGTGATTTATGGCGCAAGCTTCAGTCCTTGAAGGACGCAATGCGGGTATTGCGGCTGAATCAGAAGGCGAAATCTTTGATACGTATAACGAAGATGGTACACCTTTAGGACGCGAGCTTCGCTCTATTTGTCATGGGCATGGCATCTGGCATCGCGCTGTTTACGCTTATCTCTTTAATACGCGTGGCGAATTGCTGATACAGCGAAGGTCAGAGGATAAAAAGGTTGCGCCTGGGCAGTGGGACTTAAGCGTGGCCGAGCACCTGTCGCCGGGCGAGACCTTCCGGGATGCAGTCGCACGCGGCCTCGCTGAGGAACTTGGAGTGCAGCTCACGCCCGAGAAACTGGACTCGCTTCAGGGTCCCCTAATTCCGATGCACCAGCGGAAACTGCTGATCCCTGAGAAAGGCATCAAGGTGTATATGCGCAACGTATGCATGTATGAACCTTCGTCTGGTTCCCATAATCCGGCCACCCGGAATGTCTGAAGCCTGGCTGGGGCTGCGCTAGTACGTCATGCTTGGGGTTCTAGATTTGGTTTCGCAGCTGGCAACAGCGCAAACTTTAGCCCTTAAAAAGCTGCAGGCGAGTACCTGATCGCGGTTAGTCAATCGCACGCTCAGCGCAAGCCTGCTGTCGCATGTAACGATATCCTATGTAATCGGAAAGGGCCCTCCTGGCCGAATGCGGTCCACAGGACTTCGAATTTGTGGAGGCCTACCGGCTGGACGGTTATGAAGGCCCTATTTCCTTCAACGAGCAGGCAGGTCCGCGCTATTTAGGGTGACGTCGGAGTTCCAAATTCTCTGGTGAATTGGTATGGGCGTATGGGGTATCACGAGGAATACAGCGGCGTTGGCGTTGACATTAGACCGCATCGTCGCGGAGGCGAGGCCACAAGGGGGGGTTTACTTCAAAGCGCCGTGCTGCGCTGCATTGTGCTGTGCTTCGCTGATGTTCGCGCTGTGCGGTGATGTGCTCTGGATCTAGATCTGGATCGGGCACGCTCAAAGAAGTTCTTCAATCCGCTGCGGCCCGCCCCTGTGTCCCGCATTCAAGACCAGACCCCAACGCCGTGCCCATGGCTCCGGAACCCACCAAGAAAACCCCACAACACACTCAACCAGCTCCATCATCCAACGCGCTGCCCCCCTCCCTGGCTTGTAAATGATCGGCTTTTTGACTGGTCTGGATTTGGATCTGGATCTCTGTCTGTTGGATATGCAGGAGGTGACTGAGTGCAGGTGGATTGCTCTGTCGCAGCTGCAGCTGGAGATGTCGGAGCGACCCCAGGACTTCACGATTTGGTTTCGGGAGGAGCTCCAAGCGGTTGGTTTGTTTGGACAGCAACAGGAGCCGGCGTAAGGTTGAGGCGCATGTCTGTGTGCACACGCGTCCGCAAACGTGAGGCAGAGCAGGAAGCAGGAGGACAAGAGCGTGTGTGCTCAGGCACACAAATGCGCAAAACGTGTGTGGTGCGCACGTAACGTAACGTAACGGGGTTAGGGGGTTTTATGTGTGAGCAGAAATATGAGACCAGAAGGAAGGGTTCGTACAGCTACGTGTACGGCAGCCGTCCCAACACGCGCGTCCCAACACTGCATCGTTTCCCAGCTGATTCTCATTATCTTGGGGGGGGGAGGGCATTGGGATTCGAGATGCATTTTCGCAATACGATTAGCAGCTGTGAGATCGGCAGCTCATATAGTAGGAGTCGCTTCTTATTCCACGCGATATTGTTCCGATGTTGAGACCACCACCTTCGCGTGCGCTTCTGTGGACGATGAACTGAATTCTGGCAGTCGCGCGGATAGGCTGAGATGCACACGGTGCACAATGTGCATTAGATTGTGCAGGAGAGCTATCATGCGCCGTGCGTTCATTGGAGCGCTTGGCGAGCAGATCGGGATTTTTGATTTTTACCAATATTGACCAAGGCGTTTGGGCCGTCACTATATGGCCTGATAATAATGACGCCGTTGCAGAGCTTTCGGTAGGCAGAGACGGGTCTCAGGTCATTTTGATGATGTCACGTGGATCTTGAAAATCTCCTCGGAATGGCACGTAGGGTACGAAGTACAGCACACAGAGGGTGTCTGATCGGGTTCCGCTCATACGAAAACTTTACAAAGGTCAGGCAGGCGGCCAGTGCCCTAAAAAATATTCTGCACCGTAACCAAGCTGCACATAGTACGACACGTTACGATGTGTCGAAGTTATGGTGTACTGCATACGGTGCAATAAGTGGAAATGGTGCAGGAACATACGCGGTGGTAGATGCAATCTACTAGATGGCATTAGGGTACTAGGGCCTAACGCCTAAACCTCAATTAGAGTTAGTAGGGCCTAAGGCCTAAACCTCAGTAACAGCATACCGCGAGGCAGTTTGGCAGCGGCCAAAAGCACGACATGCGCAACTGCAACATCCGCAACATCCTCTGTGATGGCCAGCTTCCAGCATACAGCGACGAGCCGCCAACACAATTGCTGTCTGCTTATAAAACTAATAACCGATATCGACAACAGGAACCCCTCGGGATCACCAGAATCCAAAATTGAGACGACGTCCCGTCCCAAGGAACGGACGCGAGATGCGAAGGACACTTATCCCTTTTGGCGACGGCTGGTCGTGAGGACCCGGACCGTGGCCGTCGCTACCGTCGGGCCATCTTAACTCAGGACACTCACCTCCTCCCCTTCCGCCAACCTTCAAAGGCCCCACGGATTCTATGTGGATCATGATATTGTACGTGACCACCGGCACGGAGGTCATTGGCTGAACTACGCACGTCCGTGGCATTCAAATCCTTCAAAAACGATCTTCAATTGCGTGTGCCACAGAGCAAAAGGCGTTGCAGAGCTCTCTTAGGGCTAAGTATATAGGTCGATTAAACTAGGGGAGTTCATTGGAGGAGCGCCAGACTCTCCATTCCACCTAACAACAACATTGCCTCCAGCAGAGCTGCCGCTGCCGTCGTCGCATCACTTAACCCCTCCCTTCCCTCCGTCTCTCCCCCCATCCAGTAAAGCCATCTGAATCCTCCAAACTCGACGAACTGCATGATAAGGGGTATCCCGCCGGGGGACGCCGTTGTCGCAATGCTGCCAGAGGACAGGAGCACGGCCCATGCCATGGATTCTCTCGCCGAGGTGACTGTCGAGCCCTGCGCCCACTGGCAGATTAAAATACTTTTGTGTGTAGAGTTAGAATTGAAAGGATGGTGGTCAACGACGCGCAGGCGATGGTGATTTTACGCGATATGCTTCCTTCCAACAAGGCGGTCCCCAGCACCGAGGGCGGAGGGCACGGTCCGCTCGGGCAAAACACACCACGGCAAAGCCTCCGACGAAGCTGACTTCGAATCGTTACGGAGACCCCAAAACAAGGCGACCGTCTCCACCTACTGGCAAACATAGGCCCGCGGAGACCGCTCCACACACGGCCCCCTCCCCGACAACGCAACGCCGATAAACCAACTTCAACTGCAAACTAACAAAACATGTAAGCCCAACAACGAACTATTATTATACAGCACGTGGTTGGTAGGCAACGTCTCTGCCACCTTTGCCGCCGCCACCTTTGCCGCCGCCACCTTTGCCGCCGCCGCTCCTGTTGCCGCCGCACGCCGAATTTCAGCAAAGGAAACCTACCAAAGTAACGTCATCTTCGTACTTCTGTCCTCCTATAAACGATACTCCCCTACACACCTCCCCTGAAGGGTATAATAGCTAAAAGACTCAGGTCAGAAGCCATGACGAGGGCTTCTGACAAACCGAACATTGTGCCGTACGAATTACCTACGACGACAACCTACGACACAAGAAGCACGGCTATAGATTTGTCAGTCTCTCTTCTTGCGAGCTCAGTCTCCTACAACATATACCAGATTGCCTGAAGAACTACCGCACCCAACATCCTCGTGGGGCTCGAGGGGCAACGCCAACCTGTGGTTTTCCTCCAGCACAGGCCTCCAGCGGACGAAAAGCCGCAACAGTACCCGGCATAGGCAGGATTAACTACCGGGTACCGCCGGCTCCCTTCCCTTGCCGCCGCCCTTCCGCTGCGATCTCCTTATTTACACGACCACGAAACCCCCCTTACGCCGCCACGCCACCCGCCTGGGCCTCTTGGGATCAGCAACGAGCAGCATCGCTGAACATGCACATCTTCACACTTCTTCATTCACTTCTTGATTATTATTACTATCATTATTGTTACGACGTTACCTCTCTATGCAATTTTATGCTGGCTGGCCTTGGACTCCTCATGGCTCGTACGGGCTGCCGTTACGCGCCTCAAGGACGCCTAAGTAACGCAACTCCAGAAGGTATAACGCACAACACAACACAACACACATACACGCACGCGTCTTTCTGCCTATTGATGCAGCGTTAGGATTTTTAAAGATGCGCGGTGGCGGGGGCCGTGGTCAAGTGACATGTAATGTACAACATGGGGAGGTGGGAGCTGTGTACACAACAGCAGCGACAGCGCCATGTATATCAAGAGAGAGCCGCCGCGCCTTCCCCCCCCCTCCCCTGGGCTTGCAAACATACACGTAATGATATATATAACATAAACAGGGCCTGGAATGCCGCGCGTGCGTGTCACTCTTAACGCCATTCTCCGTCTTGCCGGGGTCCCGTGTCCTAATTCGCAGCGGGCAAGCCCTCGTTTCACATCACAACACATCAGAAGGGGTGACATGGCCGAAGCCAAGCTTGCGGAACCTATTCAACATCAACTCAACTATACAGTCCCCCGACCCCGCCGAGTACGTAAGAGCCGCGGGTCCTGAGCCTCTTCGACGGCCCACGCAGACCGGCCAGGCCAGGCGCACACGTGGACGTGTGGACTATACAACCCCCCCCCATAGAGAGTTCAAGAGCGCCCCTCCACGCAGGATCGCGACCTCCGCCCACTGGCCCCGCCTGCCCCCCACGCATGACCTCCTCCTATGTGTGACCCACGACAATTTCACCCCCTCCATTGCGACCTCCAACATCTATCTCGCCCGTGCCGGGCCCCTAGGGGACCTAGGGGGCCTTCCCCCATTGGAAATCACCCAGGGTGGTGATGAGCTTGCAGGGCTTCGGAGCACCCACAAGCCAACGCCCATCACTCGAGAGCTTCCAGCACCTGGGCCCCCGGGCCCTGCAGCGAGCTACGGAGCCCACTTCCCGGGTATAGCTCTGTAGCTGGCCTCAGTCAACATATATACGAAGGACTGCAGAAGGACTCCTATTTAGGACCGTCAATATCATATGCCCTGTGGTTGAGAGCGCGTTGAGATCCCCGGACAGAGGTCCCCTTCGGAGGCGCCATTCGAACGGGGCCCTTCGAACCACCCATGGTGTGTGTGTGTGTGTGTGTGTGTGAGTTATAAATTGACTGAGCCGTGGTCTGAGGATCGCACCATTCATGTGTGTATATGTATGTATGTATGTGTGTGTTGGGTGGGTGAGTGGGGAAGGACGAACCACGAACGAGTGAAGCTGCTGCCAGGGCAAGAGTGTACCAAGGGTGAGTGGGGCGTGGAAGTGCACCATGTACTCCAAGCTCCTCCCAACACTGGTAAGCCTCATGTTCGGAGTTCCTAAACCAAATCCAAAACCGAATCCGGAACCGAATCCAATCTTTTGATTCGGGTTACCTTTTGATTCGGTTGCTTAGCCTTGCGCTTCCGCGCGCGGAAATGTAGTATCTCCTGTCTCCTTTACCACAGCCCTGTCTCACTGGCGGTTGTACCCACCATCCATCCATCCATCCATCCATCCATCCATCCAACCACCGCCAGTCGTGACCCGCAGGCCCAGTCGTTCAGCCAGCCGCGAGCCCCTTCAGCTGGCGGCTCAGCCGAAGCGGAAGGGGTTCATGCAGCCCGACTTCTCCAAAGGCGCGTCCAGAAAGGCCTTATGCACGTGCTCCAACAGCACCTAGCCAATAGGCGCAACACAAAATGGGGCACGGGGTTACCAGTCGGGAGAGGAAACCGGACCACACACGCGTGCGCGGCGTGTGTGGGGTGGGTTTGGGGTGGGGTGGGGTTGGAATGGCGTGTGGAGAAACATATCCGAGAAAGTGGGAAAGTGAACTGCCGGCGTTCAAGGGGGAGGGGGGAGTTACACGCCGCAAAGCACATTCCATAACAAGTATGCTGCCGGCTGCCGATGACATCACGATCAACCAACTGCCAAAGTACAACGGAGATTTCAACTTTAGGGGGGAGCACCAGCGATGTCTTGTCCACCCATAAAAACCGTGGCCCATAAAAACCATCTTAATTTTTTTCAAAATTTATCTTAATTCACCTCGGGGAACCCCTAAACCCACCCCAGCCACACACGCACACATACACATACACACACGCACACTCTTTAAGAAGGGTCCCGTTGTTCTCACGTCCCTCTCTCTCCCCCCCCCCAGACACACACAGCTGCCCCCCCTCACCCTCACCTGAAGAGCGGGGCCGTAGTACTCGGGGTCCCGGTGCTGCACCCGGGAGATGAGGCGGATGATGTCCAGGAGGGCCACCTGACCGAAGAACTGCGGTCGAGACTGAGCCTCCGAAACCAGGTACCTGTCGCGGGGTCCCAGGCATCACGTATGTATATATGTACATGTATATATGTATGTAACCATGTATGTATGTATGTATGCGGAAGCCAGTAGATAGCAGCCAGTAGGTGGCAGGCCAGCGCAGCCTAGCGCAAGGCAGGACCGGACAGCACATCAGGTTGCCCTCTCCCCCCCTTCCTTCCCCCTTGTTCCCCGTCTTTCCCGCTGGCGCCGCCCTTGAGAGGGGCTTGCTCCCCGCTCCTACTGAATGACCCTACTTGAAAAACGCATCGCTGTAGGCCTTCGCGGCGGGAAACGCCAACGCAATGGTGGTCAGATCCTCGCCATCCAGCCTGTCCACCGCCGCCAGCGCCGCCTCCCCCAGC